ACGCGGGGAATTGCCTGAGTCACCGGAGCTGCTCTTTTCGCAACCTGGAGACGTGAGCGAGTCCAGGAGGTGAAACCTCTCGTCCCCTTGTCCGTCCGCCTGTTGCATCTCGAGCAGTTAAGCTGCAGAACTTTAATGGTTTTGCTATAAAATTTTTCTCATCTGGCACTGATACGTAAAATCTTAGGCTAGAATAATGGCCTTGATTAAAGAAAAGGGCAGAAAACCTCTGGTGGGGAATTGTCTTGAACGTGGAGTCTGCATAAAGTCTGAAGGTGTGTCTGGCTTTGTCTGGCCCCAGTGTAGGTAGACAGCCATGGGGTATTTAAAAAGCAGAAAATATTGAAGAAATTAATTCCAAATTCTGTGATCTCTTTGGGCCCCCTAGGCTAAAATGTATAGAAACAACATAAATATTGAGGTAGCTGTTTCCTTTTTTATTTGATTCATTTTCTTCAGTTTAGGTGAATTTATTCAGTGATAAAAAGAGCTTAGGAGTTTTCAGGGGGAAAAGGGAGAATTAGTTTAAAATATGAATTCAGTTGGTGGTCAAAATTTCTTTTGCTTAGTTGAAAATGTTTTTTGATAATTGTTTGTCAACTGTCTGGCGTATTTAAGGAGTTTTTAATTTGCAAATATTTTTTTTTTCCCCCTACATGTGGGAAAAAGTGCATAAGTATTTCAACTCATAATCAAGCAACTGCTCAGTCTTTGTAGAAGAACGTGATGCTTAAGAAAGCCTAGATGCAGAGAGCTGTGTCATCGGGTGGCTGGCTGGAACTACGGGTTGCTTGAAGTTCCGAAGCAAAGGGCTGGAACCTTGGTCACCCCGCGGCGTGGCTCCGTGCGGGTGCGGACGTGATCCTCGGTGTGCCGATGCCGTTAGAGCGTGAGGGTGGCTTCGGTTCGCTGGGGGACTCCGACTGCTCTGCAGCCGATAGCCCGGGCGCTTCTCCACGTATAGGCTGAGGTGGGAGCTCACTCGGTACGTTTTGTGCTCAGTTTTAAAATAATTTGGTCGGCATTGAGTGAATTACACATGCAAATTGTGAACTTGCATTATTGTTCTGAGTGTCAGCCAGGCTTTTTCACTTTCATTGTTTTGCTTGTGACAAACACAGTTGGTGATAAATGGTGATAACGCTGCGGTTTTCAAGGCAAGGAAGTACATCGTGTTCGGGCGTCAAACCTGTTCTTTTTTGATTTTAGGGGACTAAAAGCACAAAAATAGCCCCTTGTCCTGTCCCCTCTTTTTTTTTTTTTTTAAATGTAACAGGAACATGAGGATAGGATTTAGAAGTATGATAATAACTCACTCCTCGGGCATCCAGTTCGTGTACCAAAAATGAGATTTTGATGCATTTCCAGTTTTGAGAGTAAAAAAAAAATGCTGGGCTTCAAAACTTTCTCCATCCACCATTGCTTTTACAGCATGTTTCGGCATGTTTTTCATTTGAGCGTTTCATCTTGGCTTTGGTGCTGACCTAAGAACTTTAAACGCTTGCCTGAGCCCGGGCTGGGGGAAGAGGCAAGGCTGGTGACCGAGGAGCGCGGTGTGGTGCGGTGCGAGGGGTCCCGCAGGCAGTGGCCTTACCAAGTCGTAGCCCTCTTTGGCTCTCGCTTTGAGGAGCGACGGGGAGGATGCGGTCACCCTCTTCTTCTGCTGACCGTGTCCCGGGGCTCCCTGGCCTCCACCCGAGCACTTGTGCGTGGGGCTGGGCTGCGGGCTCTGCCCGCTCCCCTGCCAGGCACTGTGAGCGCTGGTATTGCTAACTGCTGCGGGGAGAAAACATTTTTCCCATATAAATGCCATCACTGCTCTTAATTTCAGGTGACTTTGCTTCCATATTAAACCTGCTCTGTCGGGTGATGTTTGTAGTTCGACAGATTTATTCAGCAGTCGATGAAAGTACCTGGGGAGTCATTGAAGGGTTTCCAAAATGGCTTGTAAAACTTTTAAATCTATTTTGTTTCAAAATAGTTTTCTCCATATGACAGCAGTGCTTTGTCTGTATTTTTGGTGTCTCTATGACTCTCTGTGACTAAATGTGCGTGTGTTAAAGGTTTCTCTGGTCTAATCCGGTGGTGTTTTTCTCCCGTGAAAGCCTGTGGGTGGTTCTATAGTTACCCCCGCGGTAACATCTGATGAATCTCGCTTCAGCGGGGAGAACAGGCAGCAGGAGGAGACAGAATCGTCATGGGTGAAAAAAATCCTGCCACCTTACAGGAGTTGCATGCTGTTTATTAATTTATATAAGAAAAGCTAAAAAAAAAAAAAGTAGTAGATTTGCATGTTGTTTCCCCCAGTGCATCCTAGGAGCAGGTGTTTCCTCATGCACTGGAGGCTGTGGAGTCTCCTTCTCTGGAGATATTCCAGACCCCCCTGGACGCGGTGCTGTGCCCCCTGCTCTGGGTGACCCTGCTTGGGCAGGGGGTTGGGCTGGGTGACCCCAGAGGTCCCTTCCAGCCCCACCGTTCTGTGATTCTGTGACTGCACTGAGGGTCTGCAGATCGCTGGGGCTGAAGCCCAGCTCGGTGCAGGACATGTTCAGATGGTGGAGGCGATGCTCGGGGCTCCTGCTGCGAGCACACGCTGGCGGCTGTCTCTGGGAGAGATCTGGGCGGATGGAAGCACGGGGGTCACGCCGTGGGCGCGGGGAGCCCGTGCTGCGGGCTGCCGAAGGCGTGCG